GCCTGGAGTTTGCTAAAAAACACCTGAAGGACTCCAAGATGGTGAGAAATAAGATTCTCTGGTCTGATGAGACCAAGATAGAACTTTTTGGCCTTAATTCTAAGTGGTATGTGTGGAGAAAACCAGGCACTGCTCATCACCTGTCCAATACAGTCCCAACAGTGAAGCATGGTGGTGGCAGTATCATGCTATGGGGGTGTTTTTCAGCTGCAGGGACAGGACGACTGGTTGCAATCGAGGGAAGGATGAATGCGGCCACGTACAGGGATATCCTGGATGAAAACCTTCTCCAGAGTGCTCAGGACCTCAGACTGGGCCGAAGGTTCACCTTCCAACAAGACAATGACCCTAAGCACGCAGCTAAAATAACGAAGGAGTGGCTTCACAACAACTCTGTGACTGTTCTTGAATGGCCCCGCCAGAGCCCTGACTTAAACCCAATTGAGCATCTCTGGAGAGACCTGAAAATGGCTGTCCACCAACGTTTACCATCCAACCTGACAGCACTGGAGAGGATCTGCAAGGAGGAATGGCAGAGGATCCCCAAATGCAGGTGTGAAAACTTGTTGCATCATTCCCAAAAAGACTCATGGCTGTATTAGCTCAAAAGGGTGCTTCTACTAAATACTGAGCAAAGGGTCTGAATACTTATGACCATGTGATATTTCAGTTTTTCTTTTTTAATAAATCTGCAAAAATGTCAAATTCTGTGTTTTTCTGTCAATATGGGGTGCTGTGTGTACATTAATGAGGAAAAAAATGAACTTAAATGATTTTAGCATATGGCTGCAATATAACAAAGAGTGAAAAATTTAAGGGGGTCTGAATACTTTCCGTACCCACTGTTAATGTGGTTTGTGGAAACGGGGTAGAACAAGTTCTTATGACACAAAAGGCAATTACACAACATTGTTGCACGAAAGTCAAAATGACAAAGAAAGGGGAAGAAGGCTTTTGTCAGTACAGGTTTTTTTTACTGCTATTTCACAGTTCTTTCAAAAGTGCAGCACCACTGTATGTCACCACACAGTTGATGGTCATGAAAGGATGATGGAAAGACAAGCCAGTAATAACAAAAGTAGGCAAGATTATTAGTGTTTCAGTTACAATCCTAACATTTTGTAACATTTAACAAAAGTTAAAAACTACTGTATTAGTAATGTTGCTTTAGCTGTATCATAAAGTAACAAGAAATATAAAAAACATAATAATGTTAAAAAAATTCAGTCATTACAGAAAGTATTCAGACCCTTTCAAGTTTTCCACATTTTGTTATGTTTCAGGCTCATCCTGTAAAGTTACTAAAAATAGGAGACTGAAATATCCCAAGTATTAAGACCCTTTGTTAAGACACTTGCAATTGAGCCCTGGTGCATCCTGCTCCTATCAGTGGTGGTTGAGATGCTTCTGCAGCTGAGTCCACCTGTACCTAATTTAATGGATTGGATATAATTAGGAAAAGCACACACCTTTCTATATGAGATCTCACAGCTGATGGTGAATGTCTGATTGAAAACAGCTAAGAGGTTGAGGCAACTGTCCACAAACCTGTTAGACAGGATTGTGTCAAGACACAGATCTGGGAAAGGATACAAGAAAATTTCTGCAGCATTGAAAGTGCCCAGGAAGCACAGTATCCTCCATCATTCTCAAATGTAAGAGATTTGGACCTACCAACAGTCGTCAGAGATTTGGCCACCCAGCCAAACTAGTCAGGGACGAAGGGCCTTGGTCAGACCAGTAACCAGAAACTCAAGGGTCACTATGAATGGGATCCAGAGTCCTCACTAAAAGGCTGTGGGAATGTTTTCCTGTATCTGGTACTGGGAAACTAATCAGGATAGAGGGAAGGAGGGATGTGGAAAAATACAGAGCAATTCTGGATGAAAAACTTCCAGAGTGCTCTGGATCTCAGGCTGGGGTGAAGGTTTACATTTCAACAAGACAACAACCCAAAGCATACCACCAAGAAAACACAAGAGTGACTTCAGGAAAACTCCTGAAGCTGTGCACCAACGCTCCCCATCCAACCTGGGTAACCTTGAACGATTCTGCCAAGAAGAATCAGAATCAGAATCTGCTTTATTAGCCAGATGTGTCGGACACACGAGGAATTTGACTCTGGCTCTCAATGTGCATGTACATATCCCCATGCAAGGGGCAAGTAAACAGTAAACCAACATAAGACTGTGTAATATAACAAAATAAGCAGTATTAACAAGCAACAAACAGTGCAAACAATGCTAAATAAGCAGTATAAACAGGCAGTAAACAATGCAGACAGAATGGAAGAAAATTCCAAAAGAAAGGTGCCACATCTGCAGCTTCATTCTCAAGAAGACTGAGGCTGTCATTTCTGCCAAATGTGTTTTAACCAAGTACTAAGTGAAGGGTCTGAATACTTATGTTAAGATGGATAGTGGTATTCCTTGTGGTTCAGTGGGTAAAGCAGTCATCTCCCAACTGGAGAGTCGGAGGTTTGAATCTCGGTGCCTGCAGTCCACATGTCGAAGCGTCCTTGGGCAAGACACTGAACCCTCAAGTTGCCGTTGGTATGAGCTGGTGCCGCAGATGGCTTCTTCGGTTCTGTACCGGAAACAAATTCCTTGTGTGTAACATACTTGGCCAAATAAAGGCCAAGTCTTTTATTTTTAATAAGTTTTCAAAACACTCAAAAAACCTGTTTTTACTTTGTCATTGTGGAGCATTATGTGTAAATTGATGAGAAAAAAGTGAAAGATGAAACATAACAAAACAGTCTAAAACAACAAAATGTGGAAAACTTGAAAAGCTCTGAAAAATTTCAGTACTCACTGCAGCTTACAGAAAAGTCAGTACACTTCCTAGAATGAGACAACTGTGCACAACATCTTTTTTGTAAACAATACAATACAGTACAGCTGCACCGTTAAAGCTTTGGCTGAAAGAACCTAAGACCTTTTTTAATCAAACACATTAACACTGATACAGTGGTTGATGTATTCATATCACAAAGGTAGAACCCAATCTCTCAGCTATTAAACTCACTTTACAAATTAAAATTTTGATTAAAAAAAATTGTCTCACATACTTGTTGATGATGCTTGTATTTATAATGTTCTCTGTTCATTCCATGTTTCCAGTTTTTAGAGAACAGTGTCTCTGAGGCTTGAGGAAGTTAACGGACACTTCACTGAGTTAGTGAAGGGAGCAGCCCACTCTGGGTTGGTCATATGCTTTCATACAGATCTGTACTGTGATGCAATGCTGTAAATGGGTCAAATGTTATTTCCTCTTGTCTTTCGTTTTGTGCTTCTCTTCTTTCTTTTTATAAGCAGGAAATAACACTATATACAGGAAAATAGTGTGTGATTCATAAATTATTAAAACAGTGTCATCAGCACAAACTTGCTCAACAGAGTGACAGAAGGGCTGTGGCAGTGCATGTAGAGGTTAGTTGATAATGTGTTACAACTTTCATTAGTGGTTTATGTCTGATATGCTGCAGCATGTTACATTTGTTCTGGGAACAGATCATTAAGAGGTGATACTACCCATGACCCAAAATAACTTGTTACGACAAAACTGCACCTTTAATGTTGTTTTTCTATGTCTTAGTAAAACCTGTTTTTGCTTTTTAGATTTTTCCCACCTTAGATACCCATAAAGCCATTAGACTTCCATTATTCATATGAAAACTATATTTAAAAAAAACTGAGCAGGACTTTGTATTCTGAACATCACTTTTGTCAATTTGTGCTCCATTTTCAGCTCTTTAAAACTGTTACTTACCTGTGAGATAGCAAAGCTTCAAATCTTCAACAGCATATTGTGAAACAATGTCTCTATCTCAAAAAGATTCCCCCCCCTAGACTCATCATGGCTTCTGCTGTGACAACAGTGACACTATTGTGCATAATATCTTTGTTCAAAAGAGCAGAGTTTTTGTCAGCAAGGATGGAACATCCCAGGGGGACCACTGATGTCTATTGGTGGCCTGTAAGAACACCAAGCTTATTCCAATAAAAGCTATAATCTTGGTTTGGGGATATAATAAATTTACCTGCACAGTCTTGCTTAACATGAAGTACAGGTAGGCCTACATTCTGTCAAAGTACCTCTGATCCATGAACTAACTCTTCAGCATAGCCGCAGTGTCTGCAACCCCATTCAGCTAGCTTCAGTTCTAGCCTTAGATCACACAAACAGATTCTGCCAAGGTGTGATATTTCTCATCTTTATACAAAAGTATCATTACTGTTGAATTAGAATATAGCTTATTACATCATACTTTAAGAGATGAAGAGAAACGTATGTGTGAAATATTTATTAAATGTTGCTTTGTTTATATGTTGTATAATATTTTTCCACCTGTAGCCACCATCTAGTGTCTACTGTGAGTATTATTATCCAATATCAAACCAGTCTGATCCACCTGAATATATTCATATAGGGCTTCTGTGTTCATCTGTGACTACAGCCTTTCAGAGTGACTTTCATCACATTAGTTTACTGATCTGAGAGGGAAATTAGAGGTGCAGCTCTGCAAATAAAGATTCTATACTTTGAATTTGTCTAAGATAGGCCACAAAAGTCAGAAAAGTACATTTGAGAACCTCCAGACAGGACTATACAAGTATGACCAGATTTCAACATGTAAATGGCAATCAAAACATTAGCAGTGGTCTAACCTTCTTTAGACATGTCATGTTCAGTGTGCCACTGAACTCAGGCTGCAGGTGCCTAACCTGAGAAGAAGACACCAGGACCTCACTCATTTTCCTATCATATAAAAGCACTTGACAGAATTTGCCACAAGAAATGTCATGAAATTATTTATACTGTCTTGGAACACAATTCAATTAATTACATTTTTTAACGATTACATGACCTAATATTTTTTTGAGAAATTAACTTACTGGTAATTATGCTGCACAAGACTATTGATTTGAGAATTACTGTATACAGACATACAAATTTTAGTGACATGCGAGGCAAATTGCACTTCCCCCTTTGTGTGATCTTGCATATAGCCAGGTGCAACATTCCAACATTTATCATTTGAACTTAGCATATTTTGGGGGTTTACAGCTGCTTGTGCAGTGATGATCCAGCTGAAACACTGAGGTTCAAGCTACAGAATGTCATTCAAGGTAGCATTAGCACGAAACTGTTTAAGACAGTCACCTCATAGCAAGACGTTTCTGGGTTTGAGCCCCAGCTGACACTGTGCCTTTCTGTGCAGAGTTTGCATGTTCTCCCTATGCCTGCATAGGTTTTTTTCTGGGTACTCTGGCTTCCTCTCATAGTCCAAAGACATGCAGATCAGGTTGGGTGTGGTTGTCCATCTCTAAGTGTCACTGTGAAAGACTGGTTCCCTGTCTAGGGTGTACCCTGCCTTTTGCCCAGTGTCAGCTGAGATTGGCTGTAACCCTTGTTAGGATAACTGGTAAACATAAATGAATAGATGGATTAGCATGAAACTCCAAATCAATCCATTTGGCTTTGCCCAGTACTCCCTCTCCCTGCTCCACGGTACTCTACTGCAATCTGCTGCACTCTGCCACTCTCTGTCCAGTTCTTCTGATACTTGTGGTTATGAAATTACAAGAAATGAGAATGCAACAGAACTTACTAATCAAGCAGAAATAACTGAAAATCTCTGACTGGTTAGAGAGGTCAAACCTGCTCAAAACATTTTATAAGAGAATATCTCTGCACTGCTGCCAGTGCTGTTCAATAAGTCTGGGTCACAGGTGGCTTCAGCAGCACCTCTTCACATTAAGACTAGTTTTGGAGAATTTCTACAACAACAATATTTGAAAAAAGTTACATACTTTAGCTTTAATCAGAGAGCTATGTAAGATAATGGAGTGAGGTGGTACAGTGAAAGAAAATAAACAAAGAATAGCAGAAATTTATATCAAATTCAAAATAAAACTAATGTGAACAATGTCAGGAATCGTCCACTAATACATACTTGATTAAAGACGAAAGAGGTCACAGAAAATAATAATGTGTTTATATCCACAAGATGGTACTACTGCGTCATTAAGGACATCTGTCGCTCTAGAACAGGGGTGGGCAATTCCAGTCCTCGAGGGCCGCTGTCCTGCCTGACCTGCTGCTGATTACAAGCAGGACAGTGGCCCTCGAGGACTGGAATTGCCCACCCCTGTTCTAGAAAGTGATCGAAGAAGAGGAAGCAGCAGGTGCACAGGAGGGGCGCTAATGCAACAATCCCTGGATGCTAACGCGCCATAAAAACCTAAAGAAGAAGAAGCAGCAGCTGCTGTAGTACGAGAGTGCTATAGAGAAGAAGAATGACGAGATTGTTAAAAGAAAATTAGAGCAGATGTCTTATGAACGTTAAATTAACACTGTTACCTCGAAATACTGCCATTGATCTTAGCTGCATTACATTCGCTAAACTATGACAGAGCCTCAGTCAGCGCTGTTACTCAGGAGACAGCTTGCAGGTAATGTAACATTGGTGTTAACCGATGCCTAGCGCGAACCCTGTTGTTAGCTGTGATAGAAATGATGGTGCTGGTGCAAACTGTTTCTTGAACCTTCCACAATAATGTTCAACTCCCTTGACAAACTGCGTGGGCACTATAGCGGTGCATGTCATCAGACACATTACACGCTTTACAAATAAAGACATTCACTGCGATGGGAAACATTTAGGTGTTTCGACGTTACATGCGGATGTCAGTCGAAAGCCGCTGTCAGAATTCCCTATGGCTTTCTACTGTCGAGCTAACCAGTTAGCCTAGCGTTAGCCTCTAGCTGTCTCGCTGGATTCGAAGTGTTTACATATGTTAATTTAATGGACGTAAGCGGGGTTTTACTTTTTTAAATGTGTTTACTAGTTATGCGAATAACAAAATTTTAGGTGCTACTTTTTTGCTTAAATCTAAGTAATGCTCCACTAGTTCACCGATTTGCTTTTGCTAACCACACTGAATTGTTAACATATTTAGCTAGCTAGCTCACAACAGCTGTAGGCTAACATTAGCTGCTGTCACTTGTGTTAACTTCAGCACGTCAAGCTAACAAACCACTTTTTTAAAGAGCTCATGGCATGCTCATTTTCAGCCATGTAATGTTTAATCTTGGATACGTCTACATTAGCTTTGCACCCATCATAACTCCAAATAGTTAATTATTTCAAAGCGATAAAGCCCGAGAGTATCTTCCTAAAAACCAGAGGATAGTTCGTGAACGCGCACAACTCTTGCTGCCGGTGTTGTGTCGAAATCCGTTTCCCTACCTTGAATCTTGACACTGTGTAAACCACAACCCCTGAGGTGGTCGCTACATGAAACCGAATTTTGGACAGGGGAAGCAAAAACACAGACAAATAAGCTATGTTTTCGACAATATCTCAAATGCTACCTGACAGGCTTGAGCCATAATATGAAAGCATCAATTATTTTGAATTTCTCCTCCATGGATTTTTTTTTTTGATTTGATTTGATTTATTCTAGACTATCACATTGTGGCCAAGCAACTCACTAGCATGGATAGGTAAACAATTGTATATGTACTGATGAAAAGAGATTTGTAACACTAAACAAAGTGGGTAATTGACAGACCCATATTTTTAATTGGCATAATGCAGACATAGTAACATTTCAAGTCATACAACAATTTTCAGTAATGCTACAGAAACAACACATTAACAGACATGCAATGTGTGTTTTTTTTTTAACACACTGTTAAGCCCCACTCAGTAACGGAAGCTGCATGTGGCCTTCTGTGCTATTTTATAGGATACTAGGAAGTGTAGTAAATGTGAGTGAAATAGCTCAGCTCTTTTAATGAAACTTTTATCTTAGAATACTCCCCCTTAATGTACTCACTAGTTGCTGGGAGTGCCAGACCACAGACCCTAGAGTCTATGATCTGGTTTCGGAGGCAGTTAGGCCTTTAATGTACATAGAGCATAACCTTCCCATACCAGAGAATTATCTCCTCCTCCCTACTGGAAGCTCCAGTGAGCAGTACTGTTCATGTGACTGTGGTCTTCTAGATGTGCTTTTTTATTTTCATTAATTGAAAATGACTAGACTATCACATTGTGGCCAAGCAGCTCACTAGTAGACTGCTCTAAGTTGAACCTCTATAGGCTAATTTAATAGGAAGCTCAGTATTTCAAAGCATATTATAATAACATAATCCCTGCTGAGAAAAGGAATTTAAAGTGATAAACACGTAACTGGCTATATTTATTAGGTGGAGAAGGTTCCTACCTGGGTATTCTCAAAGAACCCATCTCTACCTCTCTGGGTGATGCTTGAAGAAGTTCGCAGGAAAATTATCAAAGTAAAAAACATTAATAGAGTTCAAAACATTACAAAAAGATTAATTATATGGGATAGAGGAGAAGCTAAACTGAAATACAAAAATTAAAGATGCTGTAAATCTGCAGCTGACGCCTCTGCTCTGCCCAAGATGATGTCCCAAAGAAGCGCACTTCCTCTTTTGTCACATTCCTTTTATATTTCATGTCCAGGGTGCAGCCGCGATGTTCAATCCACATGTCACCTTGCCTGGTTGGTCAGTGACACAGTCCATTATCTTGCTAAACGCACAGTTCATCCCATAAAGGTTAGCAAAATACACAGTTTACTTTCAGAGGATAAATGCCACATACAGCAATCATATTTATTTTTGTTGGATAACGGAGTAGAATTGTATTCTGACGTGTGTTCCTAAGCTTAATGTGTGTGCTTTTTAGATTCTGCATATGTGCACCCAGGATGTGATAACAGCAAACCTGTTTTCTTCAAATGAGATTTAATGGTTATCTAGGGAACCTGATAGAAATGAAGCACATATGTCTTCAGCGGCTAAGCTAAAATAACTGCAGTTTAACAGGAAACCTGAAGGCTTGCAACAAACTTCACATTTTCAAACATCACTCTCTGCACACTAAAGTCAAACATGAAATGCTTAATTCATAACTGCAGTAAGAAGAATATACAGTATTTCAACACTTCTAATATCATCAACCCATAAACACATTAAAATAGTTAAAGTAAAATAAATGGTGATTAGAGATTAATAGAGAAGTATTAATAAACAAGTCAACCTCTAGTCACTCAAGTCATATATTCTTGGGTGAATCTAAGCAAAGCAACTTTTTTTTTTGTAATGTAGACCACATAAACATTGTAAAAATAATATTTTATAGGATATACTCTGTAAATCACAAACGTTATAATCCACAGCATACAGCAATCTGAAATGATAGTCAAAAGCAGTCAAAATCTCACTGTGCTAAAAATATATCTTTGATCATGTTAGGCTTCAGAATATACTGTATGTCATGTTAGCTGATACTGTTTGAAAAGAGTCTCATACAGAATATTTAACTGACATTCTCTTAACACCAAGATCATATTTATGACCACAGGTATGGAGACAGATGCAAGTCAAAGAGGGCAGGAAGTTTCACACTTTTCAAGGTGCTAACAAAAATGCACAGGGAAAACATTTCAGTAGGGAATTATAAATAAAGGAGTCTTTAGCAGTGCAACCTGGCACACTTTCAGTAACAGTATGTGCTGTGGTTAACTAATGGGAGAAGCTTAAACTTGCTGGCAAACTCGGCTATGTCTCAGAAAAAATTGCCTAAAAGAGCATTGTATTTCTGTTGAAACAAGTGTGTTGCCTATCTTGATATTTATGGACAAACCCATATGGCAGCCCGAGAGCATATATTGCCAATTTAAATAGGTTGCAGTTTAAATATCGCATCATATGCAGTTGTCTTTTATTGAATTTTTTTGATTTTTGATTTTTTTATTTTTATTTTTAGGATTATGTTCCTGTGGCTCTTTTGCATTTGAATACTGATGTTAATGTGGTCACAGTCTTCACTGAAAATCATCTCAGTTGATTTTCTAACAGCTTAGGCTATATATACATACTGTATATTTACAAAAAAGGGAAAACTAACAAATAGTCAAACTGAAGAGTTGACTCCAGTTGACTGGCAAAATCCTTAGTTGGGTACAGCCCTAATTTTCAGCAAAATGTCAGAGAATATAACAAAAACAAAACAAAAAAAATTCAGGGTACTCTTAAAAAATTTACTTACCAAATTTAACACTGGTTGAAATATGTAAGTATGTAACGTTCACCCTCAGTATTTTGTTGAAAAGCATTATATATTGCTCTCTCAAAGTTTATAGTCTGTATTCTAACATTTGAATACTGTTGGTTATTAATGTATGTAATATAATGATAAATGCTTGAATAATGTGTAAAGTAAGGTGTTCCAAAGGGAAAAATCTGGAGAAATGAAGTGTATGAGTTGGCACTGACCCAGGTGAAAGTGAAACTCAAGCAGCCTGATCAGTCGTAGCAGATAGCAGTAGAAACAGGATTTGTGCAATTTAAACAGCTGACTGTGGAGATTATGCTTCACTAAATGCAGCAGAGCCTAAAAATAGATATGAAGCATAAAAAAAATGTGAGGGTTCAACATGAGACACATGGCTCACAGATTTGGTGTGGACTGATGCATTTGATATAATGGAGTTCTATCTGCAATGTGAGATGTGTGTAGAAAACTCTTCCACAAACCCTTCCAGTGTGTTTTACCAATTAGATGGTAAAACACACAACAGTCTGCAGAAGCACACATCAATTTAGGTAACACAGTCTAGGCACTATTAAATGAGCTAATGGCAGTTTGATTCTTTTGGCATTTGTTTTTTATATGTAGAGCTGAACAAAAATCCAGTGGAGGGATTCTCAGCAGGCCTGATCGAGGATAATGATCTCTACAGGTGGGAAGTCCTTATCATCGGGCCTCCGGACACACTGTAGTAAGTCTGTCTTATGTATGGGATATACAGTGGGTACGGAAAGTATTCAGACACCCTTAAATTTTTCACTCTTTGTTCTATTGCAGCCATATGCTAAAATCATTTAAGTTCATTTTTTCCTCATTAATGTACACACAGCACCCCATATTGACAGAAAAACACAGAATTTGACATTTTTGCAGATTTATTAAAAAAGAAAAACTGAAATATCACATGGTCATAAGTATTCAGAC